TTTTGCGAGATCTCGCAAAAGTCCGTCTTAATTTTTTTTCTCCCATGTCCCCTGCGGGGCTCCGTAGAGAACAACCCAAAAGCTCCATCTCAGACTCTACAGGTTAGCTCAGGGAGCATATGTAGTAAACAAGCATGGCTTGTTTGGAAAGGTTGCCAGGAGAAAACCTCTTCTCTCTAAAAAGGTCAGCACAGCTTAGGTTTGCAAAGCTGCATCTCAACAAACGAAAAGACTTTGGGAAAGATGTTCTTTGGACCAACGTGGAGCTGTTTGGCAGTAATGCACAAACGGCTTATACTAACTGTCCACGCGGTGATAAGGGCCTGATGATTTGGGTTTGTTGTGCAGCCACAGGATCCAGGCACCTTGAGTCAGGTGTTCTCAAGCTAAACGTGAGGCCAACTGTCCAACAGCTAAAGCTTTGTCCAAAATGGATCATCTCGGATGCTGTGGTGGGCCCTTCAGAGAGCTGTGCATAAATAAATGTGGCAACCCTCAGCGAACTGAAGAGTGGACCAAATTCCTCCACAGTGATGTGAGAGATTGATAAAGTCGTACAGAAAACAGTTTCTGTCCTGTGAAATCCTCCTTTTCACATGACTACTACTGATTCTATCAGGATGCTAAAACATCTTCCTTATTATGACTTTTTCTTAAGTACAGAGTAAATATTTGTTTCCCCACTTTGTTTGACTTTGAAACCATATTTTACAATCTTTAGTCTCTGGTGTAGTGCTACTAGTGCTACTGCATTTCTTTCAGAGCAAATATTCTGATTTCCTGTGGGACATCTCTGCCTTGTTCTTGGTCTCCTTCTCTTTAACCATTTAAAAAATCCTGGAGACGCCCCAGAGACCGAGACTTGCAGTGCCAGTATGGCCTCTGAGGATCTGCAGAGAAAGTATTTCATCCTATCCTGTGCTTTCCTACGTTCTGATAGGTTAGAAGTGTAAAAGTGCACTTTGCATGCTCTTCTACACCGAGCCCGGAGAAGCATGTTTTTGATATATATGTGTATATATTTTCTGGGGCCATAAAGTACTAAAGTTTAATATCCAACTCTACTAATCACACAATATTGGGTTGTAGAACTCTTTGAAATAATTGCCTTTCTGTGGTTTGAGCTATACTGTAATATTCTTTGTGGGTTTTGTCTCTTCAACGTTCAAATGTTTCCCACTCCAGAAGCCCATATTCCTCCTCATTCTGCAGGGCACAGCATGGATCCTCCCACAGTGACGTCCCTGTGTTTCAACTTTATGGAGGTTTTGTGAGCAAACGGCTGTTGAGTTGAAGCAGCTTGTCAAATGCACCATCAGCCAGATTAGACGCCACCCACGCAGATGCGAGGGGTTGCAGATTAAAACCCCAGTTTCAATCCCTGAGCAGGGCAGATGCCTGTGCAGGAGTCCAGATGTCGTTTAAACATCTGATCCCAGAAAACACC